TCGGGCGGAATGACGACACGTACACGGACGAAATTCGGCACGAGGTGGTTTTTTGTTCGCGCACTGGATTGAATACCAATTACATATTGTGCGCATTCCGGCCCTGAACAAACCAGTATTTAGAGAAGGAATCACTAAATGGTGATAAAGAAAAAAACAAGCAATATTTATTGTATTTTTATGATGATTTTTGTGCGATTTTTGTGGAAATATTAGAAAAATTTCAAATTTTACATTTGCCAAATTTATTTTTTATTTAGTTTCTACTTCTACCTTGAAATTGCAAGTTTTTCTACGGTTTTAAGACATAAAAAGTGATACTTTTAACGCGGAAGGCCAAAGCCGTGACTAAAGTACTTTAATCATGAGCTTTAGTCACTGGAAACTTCTGTTTTGCTTAATATACTATTTTTACATTGCTAATAGTAATCAATGACTCAATAAACATTTTTCTTCTAAACCGTGCAATAGAACATTATTACAATGCAGACTTGTTGAATTAATGCTAATTCGTTGGAACATTTCAAAACCATTATGCGTAGAATATATTGTAATGACTGCAGTGGCCACAATGCGCACATAGAAACTTCCACGTGGAATATAATTTCTTGATTTGTCAAAAAATTGACGGGGAAATGAGTGTTTCCAACGCGTGATAAAAATGTCTATTCATAACTCATCTATTATGCAGATTACTCAGGCAATTTGAGTTTTCCCATAGCTCACAAACAAAATATATTCCGAATAAAACAAAATCATAATAATAAAACTAGAAATATTATAATTTAGTAGAAACTAAAATGATATCGAATATTTTTCACAATTAACTTAATTTAGACAGAAATGCAGAGAAACTTTTCTATGTTTATTTTAACGGGGAGGAAAATTAATTTGAAAAAGTTTTCACGTCGTTGGTGGGCTCGTGCCAGCTACTAGGTGAAATCTCTAGAAAGTTCATAGTCCCTGGTGTTCCCGCTCCATTTTATTTCACAAAAGCTTTGTTGTACCGGCTGTACTTTCTGTTACAAGGTGCACCTAGTCCAACAATAGCTTTCAAATTCAAACATGGATTAAAATAGAAATGGAGCGGATGAATGCTATAATCTGGGGGATTAGCTTCTGGAATTTCGATACTCAGACAAGACAGAAAATTGATATTTGGACGGGCATTCGATAAATAATATTTGATTAGATTTTAATTTGTAGTAAAATAATTATTTCTAGAGTATGAAATTATTGTGCAATAATTGGGGGTCTGAGGGCTACGAAGCAAAAGCTGGCTATAGCCGGAGACTGCGGCGTATTCATTTCCTGATGGACGTACCTTCGCCGCATTTGTTTTCGCACATCATTTTGTCTTCGTCGGAAAATGTTGCCACCCAAATAATGAGAACGTGTATTACAATATTTCAAAATTTATAGTTGCTGCCGCCACTTCTAAGTTCCTGGCAGTGTTTCATTAAAAATGTAAATTCGTTTCTTTACTCTCTTTGTTCTAGACATACTCGTAGTAAGAGTCAATTTATCAATAAGATTAGCAATTTTAATTTAAAGGAAATTACATGCATATAAAGTTTTGTCAATAATGCATCTTCAGCGCGCCATCTCGAATTCAACTATTTAACTATAAATGCTGATTGAATTCAATGTCAAATTTTATTCTATAGAAAAGTGCTGTTTTGAGGAATTTCCCGGCAATTATTCGAATTTTTCTCACCTTTTAAACCTTCCCTAGACCTCCACGAATAATTCAAGACCAAGATAAGATAAATCCGTTCAGCCGTTCTCGAGTTTTAGCGAGACTAACGAACAGCAATTCATTTTTATATATAGAAGATATAATGGTATAATATAAAAGTATTGTTGATATTGTATTTCGAGCCTCTAATTAAGAAACTGTGAAAGTGGACAAAGCAATTAGGCTTTTCAAAATTCTCTGGATGTGCGTTACAACTGCGTATTCAGCGCGTACGCTGTGAGGGGACACATTTGGAAAACGATGCGGGAGTGCGTGCGAATAGAAATGCGGCAAGTTGGCAAAGCAGAAGGCAGCGGACACACACACACACACACACGTTGAAATATATAAAACAAATTACAAATAGCCCCTAATTTGCAAGCGAGCGCTGGGCGAACATCCGGGACCACAATGCATCGCACCATGTACAGCTAATTACGCAGTCACTTAGCGTTAATCGATTCGGTCGCCTTACGTTTACGGTTAACGACATACTAATGGCCCAACATTTCCATAGCGATAGAGCTAGCCGAAAGCAGAGTAAGCGCAAGTGCCAGAATATGGGTGGTCGCGGGATGTTCGGGTAGAGAGACCACGAGGGTGGTGGAAAAAGGGGGAAAGGCAGGCACAAAAGTGGGAATGGGGATTAGGGGGGCTTGCGTGTGTAACTCATACCGATTTTATCTGAAATTATAAAACAGGACATTTCGCGCTCGCAAATAATAAAAACATCACGTAGATTAGGGCCGTCAGCGATAAATCAAACCGTCATTTCGTGAAAGAGCCGCGCCGCGCCAGGCAGACCAATGCATCCAGCATCGATACACCGCAAAATAAAATTCCATATACGTTCGAAATATGATGGATTGGCTGGCCGATAGACAGCAATGGCTATGGCCTCAGCGGGGCCTGACGTTTCGCCCGCGCCTCCACCAACTGCGCGTGCAAACGATGATCGCACTTGAAGCGTACATGGATATCTACCATGCACGCACGTATATTTTGAACATTTATCAGAAGTATCTATGCCATTGCAAATAACCCAATCTATGGCTTCCTTTTTTTTATTTCACGTGTATGAGCATGTAGGTAAACACATAAAACTACAAATATATCTTACAGTTGTGATAAATATTTTGGTATTCAATTTTTGCATAATTGCAGTAAAAAAAGCAACTTCATATTCCCCCAAAAAATGAAAACCCCTGCAAAATATAAATATACCAAAAGGGTGAAAAGCCGTTTGCGTCGGAGAGACGAGATTCCGCGAACTTATTAATTTTCAAGAGAGCGTTTTATTTAGCATTTTTATTTAATCTGAGCGCACTTTTATTATCATAAAACATTCCGCATTTTTGTAACTTAAATCCTTCCCTTGGAGAAACAAGCCAGCGTAGTTCCACATAATGTCCAATCTTCCTTCAGCCCGTTTGCAAGACAAGGAGGACCAACCGGCACTTTTTGATTCACGTAAATAAATATTAAGACGAGGGCTCTTGAGCATTTAAAGCTCGGCCGCAATTTGCCTTCGTTAACTAAAAGCACCCTGAAGACCAAAGTAAAAATAATCTGGACAACTTTTACGCTGCGCTTCCGACGGGAGGATATCACGGTCCTCGTAAAAACGCGATATTCTTTTAAGATTTCATCTCCATGCCGCGCCCGCGCTTCCAAATAGCAAACAAGGCGACAGTAAAAGTCAACGACGCCGCGCGTCTTCCATTTTAGCAGCCCTCAGGAACGCCCGCTATTAGCGACAAAAATTAAAAATTAATTTTATCTCTCTTACACGTTTAATTAAATTAAAACGGTCGCATCCGGAGATGGCAGCGCAAGCAAACGCTTAGTGTGTTTTTTTTTTCTCCTCTGGTCGTTTCAACCCTAAAGATGGACTACTTAATTAATGCCTTCCAGCGGGCGCGCAGCAGCGGCGGCAGGGCGGGAAGTCATCCAGCCACATGTGGTGTCCGATTATTAAATCACAAAAAATAACGCGCATAATCTTATTACGTAATAATGCTCATAGATTATACGAACGCGTCTCGCATCATGTGTGCTGCCGAAGGGATGCAAATCCACGATTGAAGTGACGCCGTAAATGTGGGTTTATCGCGTTCGATGAAATCGACTGCTTTGCGGAGGGTGACGAATGTTTAGGTGCATGTTTGTTATAAACAAGTGGCGCCCCTACGGCGCGGCGACCATCCTGCCTGCCCCCTAATTCAATTTGTCAGGAGATTATACGCGCACAGCCGCACACCCTTCTCGATGCCATACATCATACCAAACGAAGAGTAGTATACACCCCAACGTCAGAGCTGTATCTTTCGTGTATCCGTAAAGCCGATCTTGTTCGCTTTCATATGCGGAACAGCAGATACACTGTCGCCCCCAATTGGGAGGTAGCCGCCAAGAGGAGATATAAGAAACACTTTCTAGCACCGCTTTAAATTATGTGCTGCGCGTGGAGACATTGAAACATATCTATAAATTTGACCACTAAAAATATTGAATACTTAATTATGTAGTACGTAAATTAAAAAAATAAGGCAAAACTAGACCTGAGCCGGTTTGTCAGATTGATATCAATTACAAAACGACTTAAAATAATATAATAGGCCACGTCAACAAGAAGGTAAAACGTATTGGCGTCTGTTGAATATCACAATATTATAATAAGGTATAAATGTAACAATCTGTCAAATCCTTTCAGCGTTAAGTACGATTAGACGCACGTAGGATACACGCTCGCCGCAATATATTGGTTCGTTTCGAAATTAATCCGATTAACTTAAAGTACATACTGGGGTTAAAATAGAGCGGCGGTAAATCCCTTGTGAGTAATTCGGTGGCGACGCGTGTAGAACGATATGTTTAGAATTAATGAAATCGCTAAGTGAGCGTGAGCTATGCTACGAGCAGAAAGCGCCCACACCGAGGCTGCTGGGCTGCTGTCTATGAGTCCATTGTGCTAAAATTTACTACCCGCCATAATATTAAGTGTTTGCCTCTCGTTTCTTGTTCTTGTGTTACTGTTGTTGTTATTTCATTATTATAACTATCGCCATTAGGGTTATACCTATATCGCTGGCCAAGTTTGGAAATTTTCGGATGACGACAAGTGTAGGTAAATACCCTTTGCTACTTTTTGCATTTGCATTTTTATTGAATCTCAACTCCAAGCGATTGGAATATAAGCTCTGAGACAAAATATCTTCTAGTGAAGAGGTTTAATAAGTCTTTCAATTCCGTTTTTAATAAATTATTTGTGTGATATACAAACCTTGACTTGTGATTCTGTCATGCCGAGAGCATATGCCAGCTTGGCACGTTCAGGTCCGGCGAGATATTTGGTTTGTTCGAAAGTTTTCTCCAGCGCAAAAATCTGCTGTCCGGAAAACGTCGGCCGCGTGTGCTTCTTTTTCGCATCCTTGTCGGAATGGCCAATGCCGCTCTGATTCACTGCAACAAAAAACACACCAACATTAGATATTTTATTGGCTCTCTTGCCACCATAGCCGCTACTGCCAAGCAGGTGTCAATCGCACGCAATCAACAACGTATTCTGTTGGTTCTATTGTCATCTGATTATAGTTATTAATTTTGCATAGCTTGTTGGTTGGTTTGTTTGGTGTGATTGGGGGGAGATTATAACTTACTGCCAAAATCGAATTCGTGCAGAATGGAACGTTGCGTCATTCCTGTGAGCAAAACAAAATTAATAGATCTCTTCTAATTGCATGACTAATGATTTAGCAGCAAATAATTTTAGATTTTTACGTAGTACCTATATTTCAGTCATTCAGTGAACATACTTTTAGTTCATGTTTGCAGTCAAGTTATATATTGGTTTGAGCAGCAATAGCGCCGGACAGTCGAGCGGATATATGAATAAATAAAAAAGCGAACGAAACGACGTAATAATTCGGAGCAGTTTACCAATCGAGTGAATTCAGTGCGAGCTTTTCGTTCGGCAGGCTTTGGGCTGCGGAGGTGTTATTGAATTTGTTCGGAGGGCTTATATCTCCCTTGTGGGCCATCGCGAGCAATACCCTGCGTTGTCAGCATATATAGATTATTATATAGACATCTGGTCTGAATCTTTTACGATATAAATGTATCGACTTCTATAGGGACATCAACATGCTTCACCTATCTCTTCAATTCAAACCGTTGCAGATGTTGTTCGTGCCATCATATTCTACGGTAGTTGATTGTAACACGTACCCGAATCTAAGGAGTGTTCGTGTCGTGTCGATATTGAAAATCGAAGCGCGATTTTGCTGGAAAAGCAAATTGATGCATGCCGAGTTTTGGGCTTCATCTTATTGCCGATTTTGAGACATTTTATGTCTGAACAAGTGAATGACACGGGTGCATGTTTTAATGCCCCAAAAATGATAAAACATTTGGTGTCAGCAAAGGATTTTCAATAATCCGAGCAATAAAAAATTGACGGTTTTATTCCCGGTTTGTGCCGGTATCACATGGATGTGTATAATCCACCAATTGGGAATACGTCAGCGAGATAATCTATATACATACTGCATCTACCTACCTATATACAAACACCGAAAATGTGAACTGTTAGTGGCAATAATGGCCCACAGTTTGGCGCAAGCGCTTCGAAATTGGCTGTAGGATGGTTGGCTGCCTTCTTGTGAGCACGGTACGGTCCTTTAAAGTATGTGCAATCCATTGAGATAAGCGGAAATAGGAGCATTACACAAAATGAATAATAGTATTATCTGCTTGCCTGAACGTTTTTGTTATTATTAATTGGACCTTAAGTCGTATCCAATTTACGTATTTGTAATTACCGCATGTAAATTCGCGACCGGAATCCGCACAGCACGCGCAATGATCGCGCGGCTGGCAGACGGCGCGCGAGTCGCCACTGAAACAATGTGGATAATCTCATGATCCCCTGTTATCTAAAGATATAATTATTCTAACAGGGTGTCTTGTTTTAAACAGCTTGTGCGGGAAGGGAGGCCATCCGACACCCGGCGCCCGGCCCGGCTGCGCTTCCGCATCGCGCCCTCTTTCTGCGCGCGTTGCTAGGCTACCGCGGCGCGCCTCCGCCACCATATCCGGCGATACGACCGCAGAAATATCAGCAAGGATGTCGGTTTGCTTGTTCTACACGCGATACTACACGACAAGACACGACGTACACAAGCGCTAAGCACAACTGCACAACAATTCCCGTTGATATAGAAGATAAATTGATGATAACAACTCTATTCACCCTCCACTTTCAAGCCGCTTTCTTTTTCCCTTTTTCGCCGTCCGCCCGTTTTTCCACTCATCGCGCATCAGCTGCTTAGTTTTTATGTCTCATCTTTTATGGGTCTTATATGGTATAAGGTATGAGGCCCAATGCACTTTACACGTGTTTTACATTTTTGCGCTGATCTCCATATCATGCGGATTGTAAATTTCAACACCAACTCAACCTCATTAGGCTTCATTGTTTTTTTTTTTTGGTTTTATCTGCCGACTAGCAATTCAATTCGAATGAGAAAATCAATTCTTGTTATTTAGTTTTAGCTTCGGTGCCTTCAGCGTCTGCGCTGTTGGTTTCCTTAATCTATCAGAAACTCGATCGGGGGCATTTATCTTTTTCGCATCGACAGTCCCCAACTTAAAGAATCATAACATTACGACGTTTCGTTTAGATATTTATAAAGTAAACGCGCTATGGAAGCCAAGAACATAAATAAATCTTTTCCTCCAATTTTATTTTTATTTGTTTGGTTTTTCAATTTTGATGCAACTTGTTTTGCACTTTTCAATTTAAATCAAAACTGATTGTACATTGTTGTTCCCTAAATGGTTACGATGTTAATTTCAAGTTAGGCAACGTTTAAACATTTATCTTAAACGCGTCGCTACAATTAATTAATAATTCATCCCCGCTGGCGTCAGTGTCTGCTGCATGGTCGAAATATTAGTGAATCCTACAAATTGCTTATACAAATATAATGTTATGTCGGTTTCTCAGATGATGAATAGTTATTAGGAATAGTAGAATGGTATAATTTGGAGACTTCCCGCCATCTCCTTCTCGCACATCTTGAGCCGCGACTTTGGTTAAACAAGCTGGATTGCTCTCACAAACGCTTCCCCTAAATGGAAAACCGGGCTGCTGAATGGGACGGCTGTGCGGAAAGCCGTAAAAGCTCTAGCAGTTGCCTGACAACACATTTAATGTTGCTGCGATGAACAAGTAATTCACTAGTGTAGTCTTCAATTAGTAAAGTTGGATGTTATTATGGGCAATGCCGCGTAGTCATTTCCTCGCGTATCTTATGCCCTTTCTATAGTTAGGTAATATTTTTTATGCAACCACCAACAGTATAAACGACAGACAACATATGTATTGGTGTTTGTGTGTTGATAAATCAATATTTGCCCAAATGTGTTATTATAATCCAAACAATACCTGCATTCCACTTTAATTAAATCAATCGATAGATTATGTAGATTATGTATGTACATATAATCGCATGTCTCCATGTGCGATATTGTTATTAACTCAATATATGATTATTGTGTTGCTCACAGTATCGACATTTGTTCGAGATTAGCTTGACAAATAACCGCCCAAAATCGAAAGAAAACACATTGATGCTCAAAATTAATTAAGCGCCGCTCGACTTCTTTTGTCGCATGTTGCGGATTAATGAAACCATACCACATGCTTGTAAATTCTTGAATTCATGAGTGCCAATCGTCTGAAGCGGCCCAAGGCGCGTAATTAATGTCGGGGTTTGTTTGATTTGCCAAGTTAATAACGCCGTTGCCAGATGGCGCACAAACAAATAACACATACGTCAACGGCCATTATATACGTTTCCTAATTTGCGGATACTGGTGCAACAGCGGCAGGACGGAGGCCCACACTAAGACATTAAAACTGGCCAACTCCCGTATGAAGCACTAATTGCATTTATAAAAATACTAACGGCAACCTATTGGAAATAAACATATAAACAGGTTGGAAATTGCTTCCATAAAATCATACTTATTAATTTCCTGAGACTTTTTTGTATCATGGGTAATTAAAAACGTTATCGCGTCAATGTTATTTGAATACTCGCATAATAATAACTGTAGGTATACAGCGACATATGTGATTCTTCATTAAAAACAATTAGACACGGCTAGCCCGAATTGAGGATATCAATAATAATATTGTTATCGTTTCGGGTGCGCATATGTTGGTTGCATTATTACATCATATATTACTATATTCGTGGGCGGCTGTGCAGTGTTGTTGATTGTGCGGATGTTGCGAATAATTCAACTGTAAACGGAGAACGGTGTTGTTGATGTATTGTTGTAGATGTTGCATGTTGACTGTTGATGTTAAATGGCAAATTGCGATCGCCGAACGCGCGGAGGAGAGAGCAAATTGTGGTCGTTGGGATGTGTGTTAAATATTGTATATTCTATGCTGTGTTGTAATTTGACTTGATGTAGCGTTTCCACACTGATTCAAGAAGAACATGGAAAATTCATGACATCAGGAAAGAATTGAATTGAATTGCAATTTATGTCGATTTATCAATGACTTTAGCTTCCATTGTTGCTGACTACCTCCTAACTCTAACTCTAAGGATTTTATTGCTTCGTTTTTCACCGCCCGGAAACTCCATTATGCCAGATATACCTAATGCACAGCCCTAGGTAAAATGACCACGCATTTGCCCACAAGAGACTTTCTCATTATTGTGCACAATCGAAGCAATATTGTCATTCCACCAAAAATTTTCGAATTCTCTTTGGCAAATTGTAAATGATTTCTAAATATTTGGATGTCCCCGATCAAAAATAATACAGTGATGTCTTGTTTTAAAAACAGACTGATTGCCCATGGCGAAATGAACGGAAAACGATCGTCGGGAGACTGTTGTTTGTTGTAGTAATTGTATCACGCTTGAGTGAAATCTGGCCGGGAGAGAACCCCAGGAGAATAATGTTGGCCGGTTCGTTTCGTGCCTAACCACGTGCGACGATCTCAAATCTTCTATTATCTCAACGGTTTAAGCACACATAAGCAATCTCCACGTGCGTGCCCTGTGCACACACCTACACGAGTGAGATATGTGCAGTCTATAGGTGACTGTGTACAAAACATAGGAATTTCATAACCTGCGCCTTGCGGTTGACGTAAACCATCGGGTATGTTTGTACGGACAAATGAGTGTAAACAAAGCTCGGTGGTAAACCTCCGTCAATTGACTATAATACTTAGCTAAGGACAAGACGCAGAATTGATACGTGTGTAGATAGGTACTCACTTGCGTTACGAAATGCGAGAGGATTGGAACAGAGTCCCTGAAATCCAGGCCAGTACAAAGAATTCGCTGAGCGTCCGATCTCCACCGACGGCTTGTTCACCGAGTTAGCCGCGTGGTGATGCAGGAGTGCCGCCGCCGCAAAGTTGAACCCCCGCAAGCCGGCGTTCGATGGCCCCTGTGTGTTATGCGCTCCCATTCCCAGTTGGTTCTGCGAGAAACCTATACTGTGTGCAAAGTGCAACGGTCCCGTGGTCACTTGCGACGGCCGGGATAGTATGTGATCAATGCCGTGTGGGTTTGCGCCTTGTGAGCTATTACTGTTAGACGTCGCGCCCAACGGGCTTCGGGACGCCAGCCGTGCCCGTTCTACATGTAAACTGGTGCGGTCCAGCAGGACATCTCCATCAGCCTTCTCTTGGGTGTGCAGGTGTTCGGGCATGATATCTTGTGGTTGGTGCTTCATTTCTGTCATTGAATGAAGCGCGGCCAACGGGGCCGCCAACATGTTACGGTGCTCCAGGTTGAAGAGACTAAGGTTCTGCTGGCTGGCAAACTCAAGCATTTTGGATACTGGTGGCGGCGGCGTCACGGACACCTCAGAGTGGTCGCTGGAAGCGTCGCTGTGTTGAGTCATGTCTGCTGGCGACGCCGTGGTGGTGATGGATTGGACGCGAACGGAGCCGCGTCACAGTCGTTTGCGTCTTTTACCCGACGAAGAAGATCACACACAACCACGTGACGATACACAACACATTACAGTCTGGAGATGATCACGATTCTACCGAATTACGATGATATGGCATGAAAATATCACGCACGGTGCGTATCACACTCGGAACTACCTGAGTCGCTAGTGATCGGGTGGCGAGCGGCTTTGGTTTGGCTGTTGATAGAATAAAGAAGTTCGTTGGATGGTTAAGTGTTGACGAAACGGGGCGTATTACGCCGCACACAACATAGTGGGGGACGTCGACGGAAACCCCCGGCGCCCTCCGCGCGCCACTCGGCGTATATAAACTCAAGTACATGTTTAATATGTTAAAACTTATTATTCCGGTCCTTATTGCCGCAGGGCATTGAGTGGCGCAACCTCGCGCGTGAGCGCAAGGTATGCGTGTCCTTTTCGGTTGCGTAGTTACACGTTGCTCTATTTTTAAAAGAGATTAATGCTTTTTTCATTGGTTCAAAGGAGGATCGCCGGCAGAAAATTCCACGCGCGATTGGTAGGCCGCCCATTGCGCAGCAACGCCCGCCATTGGTGTTTTCCCGCCTCGCGCGCATCGAGTTTCCCCCTCTACCAGTGAGAACTTCCCGACACTATGGTACACGGGATGCTGTATTTTCGGAGTGTGTGCACACTGCACACGAAGTCAATCTGTAAGGAGATATTTTACTACCCCAAACATTTTAGCGGTGGAAATAGGGTCGCCGTCCGTGCCTTACCGCTGGTTGCTCGTTTCCTCTGCTTCATCGATGTGCGGCGCTGCAAAGCTCACCGTTTTGACGCTCCATACTGGCGCACCACACTCTCGCACACACATGACTACCACGAACATCATTGCAATATTTTATTACATAACTTATTCTCTTGCAATGGAGAAGCGTTTATATTAAACAGATAAGCAGCTTCGGGCAGCACTGATGACACGTAATCTAAATTCGAAACACTGCATCTTTTGAACGCCTGCCAGTTTGATAAGTATGACTTCTCCCACCAGCATTTAAGTCAATCTCCTAGGAATATTAACGTTTTAACGACGTAATTAATTCTTATATAGATAATTAAGTTCTTGTTTTATTCTGAACACTTGTAATGGATTTTATCACTTAATTAGATCAACCTTAAGAGTCATCAAGAACCTCATTTTAAATCTGCATCAAATTTAAAGATATCCCAACAATTCCGACTTGTCCGATTCATATTACGTTTGTTATCGCCTTATCACCTTCGGCAAATCCCATTGTCTTCCATTTGCGTTCCTAACCTACAAAGTGTCGCACGTCGTCGGCTTATCTGCACGCTTGTTCTACGTTTTCGATTTGAAGCGTGTTTGTTGGATGCGTCCGACCATTCCTCCATCTTTTGCATCACCTCCATTATCATCGTTGGCTTATAATCACGATTTTTTGCTCGCATTTGTTTGTTCAATCTTCGTCACGAGACGCGCGGGGTTTTCGGCGGACGCAAAACCCATTCTAAACGGCAAGGACCGGCCGACATCAGCCACAGCTGATAGTCGACGTCGGCAAAGCATGGAAGGGTGTTCGTCGCTTCGTCTCGCAAGATAGAGCTACTCTGCATATCATTAATCATAATTAAAGTCGAATTTAGATTTTCTCTATGAATCTCGGTGTGTTTATTTGAAAAGGTACATTAGCTACTCTTGCCAGACCGGAACGCAGCGTCACCTCTTTTCATACTCGTATGCAATCATATGTATGACTGCAACGGAAGTCAAAACCATTGTCGGCACTGTATGTGAAGTTTCTTCAAAATCGAACGGACAAAGTTGTTAACGTCGTTTGCTATTAACGTACAAAAGCAAACTGTTTGGGAATTCAGTTATGTTCGATGATTAAATTTGTTGGTATTATTGCATTTGGATAAATTTGATTGGGAAATTATGAGATTATATGTCGAGAGGGTGCATTAAAGCACCGTTGGCGCGAAAGGATATAAAAAAATCTATTTCCATGCTACGAAACGCAAAAATCTCGCGTGTTTCATTAAGGTGTGAAGTTTGTGATTACTCCAAGTCATATCGACGAATGACGGACGCAGCGAAATCGAAAAACGCCAAACTGCTAAGAAAGGAAGTGGAGACCCCTCTCGAAAATAATTTCATTATGAAATGTAGCCATAAAGTATATCAATTGATTAATGTTCATACTAATTGAATCAGGAGTGCGAACGAAACGGGAGCCGATAATAAAAACGTCGAGCTCAAGTTGAAAATCGAGCAAAATCAAATCTAAATGTCCGTATTATTAGTAGTATCTGGAAGCGTAGAGCGCGTTTTGTTCGAATTTTCACGACTTCGTTTAAAAATGTGTTTCGGCGTCAGTCTGCCAACGAGGGGTTGATATTATTTAAATGTATGTCCTGCGTGCTTCGCGCGCGCGCGTAGTTCAACTGTCGTGGATGGAAAGCAATCGCAATCGGCGTTGTGATTTAATAATCTCCCCAATTTAATAAATCCCCCTCGGAACGTGCACGTACTCTAACTACATTAGATGCATCCAGGGCATCGAGTGCACACCATCTCCTAATATCATCTATATGCTGCTATTTATATAATGAAATTCTAATCGTGGAATCATTTAATAAAAACATACATACATCATTAATAAAATCATTTAATTTCGTGCTGTATTAAGAGTTACAATCACCTTGGGATTAAGCGAAAGACTATTAAAATAAAATTGGATTTTTTTTCAACAGAATATAAGTTTTGAGTTGATATGTAACGCCCTTAGATCGCTATGTTTTGCGTAAAATAATTTATTATCAAAACACCCTTTTTATTCGGTTATTACCGTGGCCTATTGTTGGTTTCACCCTTTTATAATGTGAAGTATCCAATGCCTTATAGGTTCTGATTAACATTTAGTGCAAACAGGCAGGATATTTTGAAATAATAATTGTTTTGCCTCAAACGTTGCACCAAAAGAAACAAAACATATTGCATGTGTATTTCGGCAATTTTGGGATATAAAATCTTTCCTTTTATTGCCCCAGCAGCCGCGACCTTTGATTTTACCTGCCCTTTCGGCAGCCCAATTTGCCATTTCGAAGATTGTATGTGCTTGTTTTTAGTGCGGCATCTTGAATTCCTAGACATACATCATACAAATGCACATTCGTAAAATGTCTTTATAGAACCAATTGAGCGTCTTGATATGAACAATAACTTGCTCTGCACGTCTGTATGGAATTTATACCAAGTGTTCAAAAACATTCAAAATAGAAACAATTCCGATTTAAGTTGAGATGCTAAAAATGCTGTCGTTGGAATTTTATAACCACGATTCATCTGTAAACGAATTGTAATCGCAACAGCAAAGAATTTATTGTCCTGAATGATGAAGGTATTTTATTCGTTATAAACGTTTTACAACATTATAAATTTTCATTTTCGTTTCTTATGTGGTTTGATGTTCATACTGGTTTTATTCGATGCACACAATTCGATAAACGCTTAAACATGTTTGTCACTAGTTACTGTTTACTGGACTGGATTTACTGAATTAGTAGGTAGGTATCTATTTTATTTTTGCACGCTACTATAAAATCCTACTATTTTTACTAATGTTATTTTGGGTAAAGAAATATAAAATTAAATCAAATTAATTTTTAGGCAGTAGGAAATACGGACCTGACTCATGATTAATTTTCACACTTCACTTTAATGTTTGACATTTTATATAAGTAAATAACCACCGTTAATAAACATAGCAACTATAAAACAATATAATTATCCAATCAGTACTTAGTTTATATATTTATAGGACTTAGATATTTTTCAATCTCCAACCTCAAATAACGTAATCGGTAGGAACAAGGGAGGTGAATAGCTCAGTGTCTTTTATATGTGTCAATATATCGCATTCGGTCGCACACCGCGCCTGCCATTTTTTACCCGAATCGACTTCGGCGAGCTATTAAATCAAATAAAATTTTATAGTCAAACCACATGTACACAAAGCCATTTATGCCCCCGTAGATATAAAAGGTGTGCGGCGTGTTTTTTCCTTTATTTGTTTTATACTGCACATATACGCCAAGAAAAATTCAATGGCACAATCGAATCGCTGCTATAGACTATCGGCATAGCGGAAGTGTAGAAAAGGGCCGCGACGGCACCGTCAATCGCGCAGGAATGCGATGAACGCACGCCTCGAAAGATTTGCCATTCGAAACATGCTGACTGTAATGGTTATATTAGAGACACATTTTCCAGCTGCAGGCGTACTTAAGACTTTGCAGTAAACGGTAAGCGATTTTGTATTTGACTTCGTGTGCGGTGGATTAGTCGTGTATGACGAGAACGCGAAGACATTATGCACAATCTCATAAGTTTATACGCGGATGCGCAACATTGCAAACATATGCAATCTAGTATTAAGAATTAAACGACTTGTTTGGGGTCTGGGGTGCAATAAAAATTGAATTTGGAAAGTTTAAATCACATTAACATACATTAACAATAATAATTATTTATGAACCATTTGTACCTAAATACTCTATAATTGAAACCATTTGAAACACTTTCTGCCTATAAAATATGCCGTTCCATAAAAAAATATAAATATTAAGATGAATAAAGGCACTTAAGCTGACATCTTATTGCCGGATTTAGAAATTGTATTAAACTAGAAGATACACAATTGTAGGTACACGCATAAGCATAGCATAACGGGTTAGATTTGCCTCCTACCCGCCGATTTACGGCCATGGATGTGCCGAGAACGCCAATGTCATTAAAATGTGAGCAATATTTCTATGGATAAACCGCATATAATAAGGGGGTAGAAATAATGTAATGTAAACAATATGCAAACGTGCGCGCCGGCTCCGAATGCGAACGCAAACATATCCTGCATCCTGCCGACGACTGCCGCCGCCGTCTAGCATTGTATACGTTTATGTATAACATTTAAGCATGCGGATTATTAAGTTTGCGGGCGATGGCCGAGGGGGTGCTGGAGCACGTGGTAAATGGTAATTCGACGGATATGTCGACACAAGTAGATGGATTGGCGGCGGGATGCGTACGCACAATATGTGCGTGTTGACATCACTGACAAATCATTACGCAGCGATTTGCTGTAATTCGGCACGTGGCGAACACGCGTCCGCATTCAACCTTA